CCCCCCCCCCCCCCCCCCCCCCCCCCCCCCCCCGGTCAGTTACCCGTATTGACGGAGCTCCCGTCTGCGCTGAACTCCACCTCCGGCTCCCCGACTCCGGCCTCCCTGATGGTTTTGGGCTCGCCGTCCTCGTCCTCGCTGCCTTCATCCTCGCTGCTGCTGTAGTAGTACTGCAGCTTCTCCCCCAGCAGCTTGTCATCCAGGGTAGTCATGGCAACGGTTCAGCTGAAAGCACACGTTCTGTTCTTTATATTTACGTTTTAAAACAAAACAAAACACAACAGAATGTGTTCCCATAACTTGTTTTAATGTGTTCCTGGTGGACTGACTGAAATATTTTGGGTCCTGTTGCATAAACAGTTGCATCCCCGAACTATGACACTCTCTCCTCCGTGCTGCACAGCTGGAATGAGCCGCGCTGCATTTGGGTCACGCCAAACGTGTCGGCCGTTGTGGCGTCCGCCTCATTTTCATCTTTAAATGTAGGGCTACATTTCTTGAATCTCCCCCATTAACATACATTAGTCTAAATAAAACACACGCTCTTATTGGGTGTCTGTGTGTTTCTGAAACCTAAAAACACAAAGCCGGACGACTTTACTCTTTGTACTGGAGCACATTATGTGGCAGAGATGGGAAAATAACAAGAGTAAAAGCACCCATAAGGCAAATAGAGAGGGTTTATCTCAAAATTAGGACATGTGGACAATACACAGCTTATAATCAGCAGGTCAGCTCTTTCGGTTGGGCTGAAGAGGCTTTGGAGGGGCTCCGATCCGGATTAAATCCCCCCTGAGCACAGATAAGGACAAAAAACTACTCTCACTTTGTTCCGTAAAGGGGTCGCATCTGTCAGATATAATTTTTACCACAAACACAGCAGCCATGGGGCCCGAAAACAGCCAAAACCTGGACATACTGACGGCTAACTCAGCTAGCTAAAAGACGCTAACAACACGGTTTATTTGAAAGTATTTCCCTTTAATTCCGGGAAATAAACACCTTCCTGCGAGACGAGAAGAGACCCTTTAATTACTTAGCCTAAATAACTGGAACAACAACCTAAAAAGGCAGGTCCAGTTGACGTGAAGTGAACCAAAACAGAGTAGCATTAGCATTAGCCACCGAGCTAATAAGTTCCGGTTACAGTATTAAGTCGCTTCGATTGGACGGAAAAACGTGGCCAAACTCTTGTTGTTTACGCTTATTTGACGTGTATTCGGTGATAGTTTCTTACCTTGGATCGGCAACTCGCTGAGGCTGTAAAACGCCACCAGAAGCGGCTCTTAACGCTTCCTAATCTGCTAGCTTAGTTTGGACAAGCCACGCCCCCTTCAGTGATGCCTTCATGGTTTACGGAAACGTCGTAATTATGCAAATGACCGGATAGAAAAACAACTTCACGTAAATACGGTTAAAATTTGATGTGAACGCCAGTTTCTGGAGATTTTCATATTACACACAACTTTTTGTGTTTTTACAGAAGGGGTAACATTGTTTTAGCAGATTTCTGCTGATAAAAGGTTTGAATATTACTCAGTTTTTCAAACATTTTCCCTTGTAACTATGTTGCGTCATCATTGGCATACCACCCCTTCTTGTTATTTGTGTTTAAATTTCTCTAGGGAGACTTTCCTGTCTCCGATAGGACCAGAAAAATCCCAGTAGAAAACAGTGGAAAAACAAGCCAGTGTTGATTTCAGTATAAACATCTGACTTGCCAAAACCAAAAATGTAAAAAAACCACAGAAAATTGGCTGAAACTTGTTTGATTCGACTTTAAATGTTTGTTGGCTGACTCGTCTGAATGAATTTACTTTTTTTTTTATTGCAACAGTTACAAGAGCAGTACTTACATAAAGACTCAAAATAACTCCACTTTGGGAGGAAACTTGCTGTTTACAGGCGTATAAATAATTCTTACCTGTATATAATTTACTCCCAGAGTATATTTATCTGTCAGTGGTAGAAGAAGTAAACAGTGAAATAAAGGAGTCAAAAGATTTTAAAAAATCACCACTATTTTTGTAGGCTTATTGAGGGTTTCCAATGCATTTCTTTACAAATCTGAGTATATAGTAACAAATTCATATATAACAGATTCGGATAAAAAACAGTGAGCAGTCTGATTATTATAATATCTGCCACAATTTGAAAAAAAAAAAGGACAACTTAACAGGGACTAAATAGTTAGGATGCAACAAGCGTCCTAATATTTAAAAAAAAAACCTGTTCAAGTGTCCCATTTTGGACTGTCCTGGAAGCATTTGAATGCAACATGTGAGGCCCGGAGCCTCACCATGCAGTTCCCACGTTTGCCACTAGAGGTCAACATGGCTATAAAACAGAAAAGTAAAACAACCTCCACTTTAAACACTCGTCAGCATCAGGTTTGCCAAGTCAAACATCCGAAACTCCTCTTCTCTTCTTCTCTTTTCAATATTTTCACAAAAGGTGTCAATAACAGGATAAGAGTTCATTCATCCTGAACTGAACGTGTCTCTGGTATTGTGTGTTTTCTCTGGACATTTCTAATCCCAGGTGCATATATATCTATACGATGATTATTCCTTTGATGCTTTGGTTTTATGTCCCTGGTCCCAGAGTTTGGCGGGAGGAAGTGGTGAGTTTGTGTCTCAGGCCAAAGTAAACACTGAGCAGACTTAGATAAGAGATATAAGAGATGGGAGTGGAATGTACAGGACAATGGATCCTGACAGATGTAGCATTCGCTGCCAATCTAAACGAAGGAAATAATGCCTCTCGTGTTCAGGGTTTTATTCCATTGAATGTTGACAGTGGGTTTTTTATTTGACTTTGTCTCAATCATCAGTGTAAGAACCAGACGGAGTAAAAAATTAAAAAAAATCTACTTGAGCTTGTAGGTATTTAATATAAAAAAACAGATGTTTGGTTTTACCTCCACTGACCCAGGAGACAACCAGACAGTGAGTTAAGGAGGAGGCGCGCTTGATTTCATCCCCCGGCGCGGCTCAAACTTGCATTTCCTCTCAGAGCCGTCTCGTTTTCTGTTTTCCCCCCTCACACACGGACGTAAAAAAAACCCCCAAACTCTCCTTTTAGAGCTCGTCCGGTCGGGGCCCCCCGCCGTCCGGCCCCTCCTGCGGCGGGACCCTGAACGCCACGTAGGGACAGGTCCTGGCGTTCAGGCAGACCAGCCTCCGGAGCGTGGCCGAGTTCACGATGTCGAAGCCCACGCGGCCCCCGAAGGTGCTGGGCTTCCAGTAGTCCGGCGAGCACACGGGGTTCCCCAGGAGGCCCTTCAGGGAGAAGGGGGCGCCCATCTCCACCATGCTCTCGCCAAAGATGGCGCCCGCCCGGGTCCTCTCCAGCAGCAGCCCGGGGTAGAACTCCAGGGCGTCCACGTCCCCGTAGAACTCCTCCAGAGTTCGGGCCACCTCCTCGTCATCTGCAAGAGGTTCACAGCTACGTT